GAAAATGCTTTAATGTACATTTTTTTGGACTAGCGCAACTAGTATAGAAACAGAAAACAAATTTTTTCTCATAATTTTTGTTGTTATAATTGTTTAAAGGTAATACTTTAGCACAATGTTAGTACAACCTGGTACAATTTAAAAAATTGGAAAAAACGCAAAGTGGGGGCTGTTAAAAAATGTTTTTTTTTTATTTTTTAATGCATTCTTCATATTAATATTAATATTCGAGCACAATGCAGCACAGACTTAGTACAATTGAATACAATTTTTAAAGTATATTAATGCTAAAAGTCAAAAGTTGCTTGAAAATAGTAACGCATAAATCAAAAATATATTAGGTGTACAAAATATTAGGTGTACAAATAAGTTTCCGCCGTTTGACAAAAGACGGTGCCACTAGCAAGCTATGGTTAAAATTGTCTGATGTAAAACATTATATCGTAAGGTTGGACATCTGTCAACAACATAACCTTGAAATACTAGCGAGTTTGTATCAGCATCATATATTTGTTTTGTGCGAAAATGCCGAATTTTGAGCCGAATAAGTGTCATTTGCGGGAACTTTTGATTTACTTCTTTAATGTGAAGAAATCTGCAGCTGAGGCTCATCGATTGCTTGTAGAAGCATATGGTGAGGCTGTCTTAAGTGAGAGAAGTTGCCGTGAATGGTTTCAAAAATTTAAGAACGGTGAATTTGACGTCGAAGACAAAGAACATAGCGGAAGGCCGAAAGTGTACGAAGACGCGGAATTGGAAGCATTATTGAATGAAGATTCGTGCCAAACGCAAAAAGAACTTGCACTTATATTTTGACTTACATCAATAAAACATTATGTATCGTTCTTTCACAATAAATGCTTAATTTTTGATAAAAAACGACGAAAATTTATTTGTACACCTAATATTTTGTTAGATAACATAATTTTTGCAATTTAAACGATTTAGAGATGAATATGGCTGTTTACTCCAAGAGGGAGGGATGCAGCGCAAAAATTAAAATTATGTGAATAAAAAAGCGCATAAATAGCGCATAAATTGTATGTGTATTTAATTTTCCAAATTGGTTGTTATTAACACGTGGGGGGCTAACTGACAGCCTACTCAACCCCTTCAGAAAAACATTTTTTTCAGCTAAACAAAATGAATGCAAAAATTTTTTCTTACGGACTTTTGAAAGCGCATAAATAGCGCATTATTTATTAATTAAGATTTGTGGTTAAGCGGAGGCAGGGGAAGGGGGAGAGGGCAGCTAAGCAGACGTCTTCGTATAGGCATATGAATCTATAGAAACGTAAAGTATATTTTGTATGACTATATATGGTTTCATATACTAATTATTATACGTACATTCAACGTTAAATAAGAATTAAATTAAACGTTATATAAGAATTAAATTCAGATTCATATAAGAAAGAAATTGTTTGTTAATTTTTAATCTACATTACTTTTTTAATTATTATTATGTAGAATTAATTTATAGTTTTAAATACAATTTATTAATTACAACATTACATATCACATGTCTTATAATTTTTGAAAACGTATATACAATATCGACTCGATTCGAACCTACGATTTCTGAAGTGGAAACCTAACACTCGAACGCTAATTGTATTATAATATAATATTCTATTATAATATAATCGCTGGAAAAATATTTACATGATTATACTGAATCTTTTCCAATCTTACTTACATAATCATGTGATGTTTTAATCCACATGAAAAATTACAGATTATATTAACATAACATGCAATATGTATTTTTGGGATTCCATTGAATATGGAATTTTACATACAAAATATAAAGGCAACCAGACTTAGTCATTTTGTTTCGCCTATTGTTTTCTCGACGCATTGAGTTTACAGTTTCTGATTGGTAATAATCGCAATAAATATAAAATTCCATTTTTACTTAATTTTGTATAAACACTTTCAAAAAGGATTTCTAATATCGAAAAAAAAAATTCTTGACATACTTAATTTTAGCTTAACTGTATATAGTATAAAATTATGACTTTATTAAAATTAAATCAATAACACTAGTTTACAGCAAAAAATTACTTTTGACCGGACTGTCTCTTATAAATTTTTGAATGCTGAAAACGATGCCGCAAGCGAAAAAATTCTAGCACGTCAGATTTCCAAGATAATTGAGGTTTAATACTTAAAAAATAGCTTTTTTTGCGATATTTGACATTTTTTATAAAAATGATTAACGTTATCTTGAAATTTTGATAAGGAGTAACGAATTGTTCATTTCCTATAAAATATATTTTTTTTATTTCAATATCTTACTTTTTAGCCATGTTATGAACGATTAAAGATAGGAGCTATTTTGAATGTGAGGCTCCGGCAGCGTCATATGTGCATGCGGGATCGGCGTCTCGGCTGTCTAATATTGAATGGTAGTGGGAGTACGCAAAATATGTATAAAGCGAGAACATGAGCATCACTTTAGAAATTGACTGGATTGCATATACATTTTTTTGCAAAAAACAAAATTTATTTTGTAAGCTATTGTTTAATAATAAAGCATTATGTTTCCGAAAAATTCATGTAAGAATAAAGTTAATAAATTTTGTCATGGCTGTTACGAAGTCAAGAAATATAGAAATAATATAACTGAATATTTTAAACAGAGTTATCATAAATGTTATGATTTTCTTATGCAAAATTTATTTAGAAACTTTGGGTATCTAATATGATATGCAATAATTGCGCTGCCAATTTGAAGCTACAGAATAAAAGTAATAAAGGAATTCCTCGTTTTGTAATCTTTCTAAACAGGTGTCCGAATTGTTGACTTCAAGATTAAAAGAAAGAAATCTTGTAATTTTTGAAACTAAAATAACTTTTTACAGGTATCGAGAACAAAATTTTTTAAAATATTTTTCTGAAGAAGATTCTATTGTTTATTGTTTCAATATTAGAGGTTTAATAAATGAAATAAAATTAGATATATATGAATATACTTGAAGAATGGAGACTGTTTATTGATTACTCGAAAAGAAGTTTAAAGGCAGTTTTACTGCATAATGGCAACAAATATGCTTCAGTGCCAATTCAGTAAAAATACAGAAAAGCTATATCAGTTTAAAAAAAGTTCTACAAAAAATTAAGTACATTCAGAACATCAGTGGCTGATTTGTAATGATTTCAAAGTTTTGTGTAATTTTAAGACAGCAATTAGGGAATACAAAATTTCTGTGTTACCTTTGCGCATAGGATAGTTATACAAGACGTTTGCATTGGTTCAAAAAAGAATGGCCAGTAAGAACTGAAATGGGAATTGGAGAAAAAAATATAAAACATTATAATTTGAAAAAAATCTAAAAAAAGTTTTATTGTTTTCATTGCATATCAAGTTCGGCTTGATGAAACAATTTGTTGAAGTATTAAACAAGGAAAATAAAAGTTTTTCAGTATTTAATTAGTAAGTTTCCAAAATTGTCAAGCGCAAAAATAAAGGAAGGTATCTTTGATGGTACGCAAATTAGACTTTTGATGAGAGTCAACTTTCTCGAGTCAATGAACACAACGGAAAAAGAAGCTTGGTTCAGTTTTAAAGACGTTGTTCAAAATTTTTTAGGAAACAAAAAATAAAAAGTATAAACGAATAGTGTTGATCATATGCTTATTCAATTTCGTGAACTAGGATGTTTAATGAGTTTGAAAGTTCATTTTTTTGTATGCTCATTTTAACAAGTTTCCTGAAAATCTCGGAGACTCTACAAAGAGCAGGGTGGACGATTTTATCAGGATTTGCAAGAAATGGAGAGAAGGTATTATTGGGATATACACATGTTAGTAGACTATTGTTAGTATCTAAAGAGAGACACAATGTACAAAACGACTCATAGAAAATCAATGAAAAGAATCGTTTGATGAACAAAAAAAAGTAATAAAAAAATAAGAATTATAATTTTTTTATTCAATTTTTATTAAATTATGATATATTTATTTTGCGTTCTTTGTAAAATTGCCAAGTTCTACGTTTATTTTATTATTTCTTGGGTAGAGATTTCACTTATTACCATATTTTAATTTTTTGTTCCTGGCCTCCATTATGAAAATAGATTCGGTGCTGAAGTATCTCCGCGTGATACAGGATGAGTAACGCTAAAATCACTTTAAAATAACAACACGCATACACATACACATAGAAAGAGAGTGGAAGAGAGGGGGGAGGGAAGAGAAGGGGGAAGAGAGAAAGAGGAGAGAGAAAGAGTTATTTTGAAAGATATGTAATTGCATATTACAAATTGCATTTTATTCTCAAGCAACTGTTAGGTCCAAACCTTTAGAAATTCGGTGAAGGAGACAATGAGAGAGAATGGATAGAGTATGGAAGGATAGCTAGACTCAATCTCACAGGTATATGCGCAGAGGTGAACACCTCTGTGAGTCGCACGCATTTTGTCCCGGAATATGGGTCAACGTCCCGAAGCTATGACACCTGTTCCGAAGGATAGTGTGAACGTCTTAGTTTTTGGATCAAGGAACTTAATCCTTTTGACCCGGGACTGGACCTCATGCGATCTCAGGTTTAAGGCGTTTAAAGGGAAAACAATGCGAGAGGTGATTCAAATAAATGGCAGCTAGGAAAATATAAATGATTTACATTTATTTAAAAAAAAAAGAGAAAATTAAATTTATATAAGATATTTATACATATTTTTACATAAAATAGGAAAAAAACTTTCATCTTATCATTGTATGTGTAATTACAATCGATTTGTTTAATGTCGTTGAGTAAGAAGTTAGGTGTGTATGTGTGTGTGTGTGTGTGTGTGTGTGTGTGTGTGTGTGTGTGTGTGTGTGTAAGTGAGTGAGTGAATGAGTGAGTGAGTGAGAAGAGGAAATAAAGTTATTGGATATTGGCGGCAAGGAAAGTGGTGCAGGAGTACATCGAGATGAGGTGCTTGTATAGGACGATGTAAGAAGTGGGGTTTCCTGGGATATGGACTGTAACTATTCTATTCCCTCCATTGCAGGAGGAAGCATAAAGCCTAAATAGCCGATTCTCCAATCGATCGGCACGGGATCCGACTGAGAGGGAGGAGTTGGGAGCTGGTTTAAGAGAGGTGGGAGAGGAAATCCTTCTTCGAGAGGAGTGGGGAGAGGGAATTGTTTCTCGAGAGGAGGAGGGGAAGAAAATCATTCCTCGAGAGAAGGAGGGAGAGGGAATCATTCCTCGAGAGAAGGAGGGGAATAATTCAGGATTTCTTAGATGGCGGGATCAATGACAGAGGGAGAGGTGAGATCTAATGATTGTGTCTGATCCGAGACTGACGAGTATGGTAGTGAGATCTCACGATAGTGGTCGTCGGTCGGTTGTAGCAGCACGGTTGTGACTTGGCTGCGAACGGTTACCGCCTACTGACGTAAGAGCTTCGTCCCTGTTTTTTAATCGACGTACTAGCGCGCTATAACAAAAGAGTAAAATATATATGTTTCGTTAGAAGCGTGTATAAGTGTGTATATATATATATATTTGTTTTTATACGGGGAGACGTGTGGATGAACCGGAAGAAATGGCAGAGCGACTTACTGGTTAGCTGGTGAGTCCACGAGATCTCGGATAGCTATCAGTTGAAATGAACGAGGAACCCGCTATCCACAGAAAAGCGCCAGAAGGGTAATTGCAGTGGCGAATGACTGGGTGACCCCAATGATGATTGTTGCCCACAATTTATCTTTTTTTTCTTTGCATTTGCGTAAAAAACGTGAACTGGCGTAATTATCGCGGGTTCTCGTAGCCTGATTTCCGCAGCTGATCTCAAATGATTTGATGTACTCGAGTACAGATATGCGAATTTACGTGGTTTTTCACTAACATGAATTGTACTAACGTGAACCGGATGAGTTTGACTTTTGTACTAACGCTTTGCGCTTCCGCGGGACCTCTATTTATATCCCGAAAAAAAGGCGTGCCCTTTGTCTAGGATGCAATAGTTAGTTGCAATGTCACACGAGATTTATGATTTTTATAGCGTCGTTGTTAATCTAAAGTGCATCGTTAGAGGGATTTCGAGAAGAAAAGGAGTGATTTACGTTTTTTTTTAAAGAGACAAGATTGCTCCAGACGGATGACAAATTCTCTTATTCTTCAAATATGACTAGGTAAATAGATAATTACCGTGCACAACTAGTTTTGCGTGCAAGGCAACCATTGTCAGTCGCGAGTCTGATCTTAAATAACGCTGCTATGGGAAGTTATCCCATGCGTTTTATGATTTTTTAAGTGCGTGGCGCCTGTTTTCCTAAGATGAAATTGTTGGTCAGTCTGGAACGACAAAGCTTGGATTTTTACTATTGCGTGACTTCGGTGCATTTATAATGCCTTTTGCAATCTTGTCACTTTTCGGGCCTGCATTAAGGTTGTTATTCTTTCCAGGTTGATTGGCATTTACGAGTTTTCGCGGAGCTTGTCTGATCCCTCTTTTCAGTTCTGTCGGACCGTTATCAGAAGACTCCTCTCGAGTCTCACAGACGCCAACCATAGTCGCGACGTGGAGCCGAAGAAAAGAATCATGGCGTCTGTAGAACGTAACATCCCCCAGCCTTAGACAAATGTTGGGATGTGAGAACACAACATTTGTAAAAAAGGAGAAGAGAGAGAGAGAGAGAGAGAGAGAGAGAAAAGGTATCGATTCTTTTCATTTTTCCTCAACCTGATGGGTTTGACTACATGGTAACGTCGGACCCACATTTAAGTGTTATTTCTTACATGTGCGTCCTTTGGTTTATTAGAGAAGTAGGAAAGAATAGGACGTTTCTAAAATTCGCCTCTTCAGTTCTTTCGTTCTTCCATTTTACAAATATATATCAATATCCTGGTATACATATGCGCATATTACATATAAAGAGGATTAGAATTTTGATATCTGTCCGTAAATAACTTATGTCATTAAGAAGTAGGAAAAAAAGATAGGATTTCTTTCAGAATTCTTTCGTATTCCTTGTTATGCCTATTTACAATAATGCAACTAAAATATTTAGGTGCTTCCTTTAATATTGACAAGTGAATGTTTGAATATTTAAAAGAATGATTATCTGAAAGTTACCAACCCTCTCCCCCAAAAAAAGGTTTATTGCATCGACCCGCGCAATAATCAAAGGTACTCCTTATTTCCCGATATAAATGTCTTGTCGATGTGCTGAAATCTTTTGATGCGGCTTCGACACTCATTCCTCTGCGGCTTGACAATTATTGTCATTTTATCGCAAGTCGAACAGTTTTTGCAGTCGTCCACAGACTCTCTATGAACGAGGCAAGGGCCATGTAGCATCCTTTATTTGAGATTTCTGCGGCAATGGTCGCAGATTTTTATCGAGATGCTTTAGCAGATCCAGTGTCTCTTCAGTGACGTAACGCACTGGGGTTTCGGTCAAATATCGAAACTGTCACCTTAATCTTTCCATTTAATTGGAGTACAAAGAGTTTTATATGATCTAGTGATCTGGAGATGGTGATAGTGCACTGACAAATTATACACTGTGATTGACAATCAGGTAGTTTTGCATACAAAGAAAAATTCTTTTAAGAGGGAAGAGGGAAGCAGGACAATTTGCCTAAGAATAAAGAAAAGATATTGTTCTTAATTAATTTTACTTCAGCAAGAATCAGCTGTATAAATCTTTTGTTAGTTTTTCTCAGTAGTGATTCTAAATTTTTTTTTATACCCCAGAAACTTCCCTTATTATAATATATTAGGTGTACAACTTTGCTTCCGCCTTTTTTTTTCCAAAATTCGAGACTTTATTGTAAAAAAACTGGTTATACATATATGATTCAAAATATTTCATCCATCGCTGGCCACTACTTTCTCCCATCTTTCGGCATACGAATCCCGCGTCGAAAAAACTGGTCATCTTTTGAGGCGATCTACGAATCGATCCAATTTTTTACTTCTTCATAAGACCGGAAGTGCTGGTCAGTCAGGTCGTGTGCCATTGACCGAAACAGGTGATAGTCAGAGGGAGCAACGTCTGGAGAATACGGCGGGTGGGGTAGGATTTCCCATTTCAACGTTTCCAAGTATGTCTTGACTATTTTCGCAACATGGGATCGAGCATTGTCATGCTGCAAAATCACTTTATCGTGTTTCTCGTTGTATTGCGGTCGTTTGTCTTTCAATGATCGGCTCAAACACATCAATTGCGTTCGATACTGATCGCCTGTGACTGTTTTAGTCGGTTTTAACAGTTCATAATACACTACGCCGAGCTGGTCCCACCAAATACAGAGCATGACCTTGGAGCTGTGAATATTCGGTTTGGCCGTCGACGTGGAAGCATGGCGGGGAGCTCCCCATGATTTTCTGCGCTTGGGGTTATCGTAATAAATCCATTTTTCGTTCCCAGTCACAATGCGATGCAGAAATCCCTTCCGTCTTTGCCTTTCAAGCAGCTATTCACGAGCAAATAAACGCCGTTTAACATCTCTCGGCTTCAACTCGTACGGCACCCAATTTCCTTGCTCTTGAATCATTCCCTGATGACTTTGAGGCATTTTCAAATGGCTTGTTGAGTCACTCTCAATGATCGTGCCAATTCTTCTTGATTTTGACACGAGTCTTGATCAAGTAATGCC